CGGAGGTTCATGTACACGCCCGGAAGTGGAAGCCGAACTGAAAACGTTAGTAAGCAGCTGACGTAAGTGGTAGTCGTACTGACGAAAGGGGGAATGCGAGCACCTCAATTAGATGGACTCCGGAATGCGTGGGAGAGGAGGCAAGTCGACCATGACTGGAAACCGACAGGTGATGGCGGGAAACTGCACGTAAACCACAAAACCGACAACCCCGCAGTTAACAGCGCAATGGCCGCGCATGCGAACTGTCCAGAAATGGTTTAGGAAAGGAGAAGTTTGTGTGCGTAAGAGTATAAAAATGGCATTGTATATTGGACATGAATTTTAGGCAATAGGGGATGGGAAGTCAACATAAACCCTACGGAGCCTATTCGGTAGGTGTGTTTAAGGGTTTTCTGACCATGCAGGCCACAGGTCTTCCATTACGGCTACCTTACGTACTATTGTTTGTTCAGTAGGTGTGCTTGTGGTATTTTTTTTTGCCGCGGCGGCAAAAAAAAATACCACAAGCACACCTACTGAACAAACAATAGTACGTAAGGTAGCCGTAATGGAAGACCTGTGGCCGCTTATTTGGCACCGGTCCATGTCTCTTTTCGTAACCAAATCTTCGAAGGTCCACTTTCATGTGGTTTTAAACTGCATGGGATTGCATCTGAGCCATTCTGCAGGGCCTCGGACAGTTATTGTTGACCCACAATGAACCATGGGGGGGGGGGGGGGGAAGGGGGGGCTTATGATTTCGCAAACGCGCACCTTCGCCAAACAAATAGGCGAACTTCAAAACGCGGCCCTGATTGCCACCTAATTGGACCCTTGATTCGCATTGATGTGAGGGCGCTTCGTCACTTGTACACAGCGGGGATCGATCGTTTGCCTGAGGTTTGGAGAAGCTAATTTTGGGTGGTAGTCAGGGCAGGCAAAGGCATTGGGGCGCCTGGTTTCACACACCAAGCAAGTCCTTATTCAGTGCTAAAACACAGCGGGGCATGAAGGAGGCGTGACAGACAACTGTGTGATATTGAATTCTTCCAGTCCACACCCTTTATGACCCTGCAGAAAAGGCTGCACTTATGATTCAAGACCATTAAAAATTCTCGAGTACAGATGCGTTTCATGTGCCCCATTTTAATGTGGTGAATCCATGCAAATGCTATGCGGAAGAGTGTTTCCGAAAAAACGCAGAGAATCGAAAATCCTTCACATTCTGTGGAGGCCTCATGTGCGATCAAGGTCATCAAACACTTATCGGCAACTGTAGTCTAACGCAGTTTGCGCACACGCCAGCTTTGCATTTTAGCTGATAGTGGTTCAAGTGGTTTAGAGGCTATTCATTTTTTGTGAAGTTCGGGAACCTAGCTGAAATATCGCATTAAACAGGGTGGCCTTTCTGTATAAAAAAAATCAAATAAATTCTTTACATTCATTTTTTTATGATACACGGTCATTCGGATGGAAATTTTTAGCTATGCAAAGGACGACGTCATGCACATAGTCCCGTTTTCGCATCACAAGCATAGGCTATTATTTCAGCACTTTCTCCGCTCTAAAGCGATAGAGAGCTGTTCATTCGAGCTAAAGTTCAGTGACATTTGCGCCTTATCTTACCGCCAACTTTCTCGAGGATAAAGTCTAACAGGCAGAGTTTTAAAATTTGGAGTGGACATTATAAAATGTGACAGAAAATTTTGTTCGGTGTTTAAGCCGTAAAGCGGCTTACGGGTCATCGTACACGAAAAGGCCAATTGGTTAGAGTGGTACACATTGATTTGCCGCACTAGACGTGGCCTTGCCCTAAATCCCGAGTGGGAGGAAGTGGGGAGGCGGTTTGGGTTATGGTTGGTGTTGGGGTTGGTGGTCAGAGTTATGAGGGTTACTTTTAGGCCTAAAGCCAGGACACGGGCGGAGATAGACTGCTGGAATTTAGCGCGAGGTCACCTGTAGCACGGGATGGAGGAGTCCATATTCTCCTGACCGATTTTCCAAGCGTAGATAATTCAGCTAGATACAGACTCGGAAGCGGCATTTCAAAAGCCAGGTTCTTACAGCAGCATAAACCGGGGAACACACTCTGTGATGAGCCTTCATAATGTGACTTCAGTGGTGATGTGAGCAATCGATAGGGCCAAAAACAAGTCCTTATATTCTAGTTCAACCCTATTCTTCTGAACACTGCACAGTTGTACTACAAAGGAGGATAGTGTTTAACGTGCATGTGGAATCAAGGCTTGACTCATAGTCGGAATTTCATGAAAGACATGAAAACTTCTCTCCATTCGTAAACTCATTCATAAACTCCCAGTCGGGTATTCGGCTTCGTAAACTAAGCTATTTGGACGCAGTCCAGGTACTCTAGGGTTGTATAATTAGTTTGGGAGGAGGGGTGAAGAGATGGGTTCTAGGTTGAAGTTGAGCGTGAAAGGAACGGCTGAGAGTCCAAACCATCCGTATAAAATTCTCTAAACTCTCGGGTTAGTCAGCGTTTGAGTTAAGGAAGACGGCAGCAGCAAGCGAGCATTTATTGTGGCTACTGATTATGCGCGCGTCCGATAACGAGGTCGGTGTCGGATGCTCGCGAGGTGAGAACACAACGAGTGATAGGCGGAGGAGCCATTAGTATGTCAGGTTAGGGGTCCTTAGGTAGCCTTCTGGATGCTGTTGTGCCTGCCCTCGCGACTCTCTGTTTTGCGCCCGCGAAGTCGACTTCATGGCCAGTCTCCGGGGCACGGGCAGCGACTGGAAACAGTGGATCAAACCAACGTACCGCAGGTTCGCGCTCGTGAATTCGTGTAGTTGCGAGGAGGGCAGAAAATTTGGGAGATGAAATAAGATATTTTTGCTGCACATCCCCAGTCAATATTTTGATCCTGGCTCGGGAGTGGAAAAGTGTGTTCTTTGTGTCGGACGCAAGTGGCTTAGTAGGGCCGGTACGATACGTAAAGGTGGGTCGCGCGACAGCCCGACCACCGGGAGCGATGACATTCACCATGTGTCCAGTGGAATGGGTGCAGAATAGGTTAATTAGCTTATAGCAAGGTAGACTAGTGCAGCATCTACCACACTCCCTCCTCTCTGACCCACCGGGATCCGATAGCAAGGCAATGCCAAGGCGACCGAGGGTGAATTCGGGCGCAGTGAATGACAAGGCAAACAGTCCGTCTGAGTGTGCCACGATCGGCCTGGTTCCCACACAATTTACCAGGTTTACACAGAAAGGTGGGTCGCGTAGGCTGCGTCTAGACTGTAACATAAGTCCACACTGCTCCACAAAATGCCTCCAATGGTGTTTTACGCGGGAATTGGTTTATAGTAAGTCAGATCGGTGTTTCGTCCACCTAGGTCCACCCTGCCCGCGCCTACAGTTTTCTGTGTGCAAGACAAGTTCAAAACGACTGTACGTTAGAGTTAGTGCAGTGAGTGAAAAATTAGAGAACCTACATACGCGGGTCCGAAATATACGCAGGCTTCGTTCAGTTCTGTGTCTCGAATCTCAGTCATGCCTGAATGCTGTAAATGCCATTGCAGCCTGAACTTCAGTTATTCGTAGAAGCGAATTATCCCTTTATTTGTCAATCTTCCAAATGAAGGCTGTTGGCGAGTCGTGAAAGATTCAAGTGAGTTCACTAACCGATCGAGCGGATTTCTTTTGCTTCACACAGGGCGCACA